GGATGTTCTTCGTGAGGAGATACCGGCAACTATGGTAGAGGAGATGCTTGAGGGCGGACCGCAGAGATTGGATACTCATGAGTACGTCCCAAAAATGGACGAATTGAGGAGTGGATTGAGATATTGGGTCACCGGATCAGGTTATGAGAACCAGGCCCCTGGAACAGAGCAGCAGGAGGCCATCAGTGAGATTGTGGGATCTTCCTCATCACCTCCTCCGCTGCCAAGGTGAAAGAAGTTCAGAAGAAAGGTTGATCAGCTCTGCTTCTTCTGCAAGGATGGTGTGCATTGGGCTCTCGAGTGCCCTAAATCCCTCAAGGACAAAGCAGCAGGCTGCATCCTGAAGTGGTGAAGGGTGTTCTGAAGTGGTGATGAAAAATACGACTGTTGTTAACCTTATCTCGCCTCCCTACGAATCTGTGCGATGGGCTCCTCGAACCTGCCGGCACCTCCCAGCCTCTCAATCATTTGGGTCATTGTCCACCCTCTATTTTGTGCATACCCTCGAAAATAATCCAAAAAGAGTTTTATATCTCCGTCATCGTATATGGGCGTGTGCTCTCTCTGATAAGACCCATGCCGGTCATAGCCCTCTGATGCTCCCAACGACCTCCGTGGTGGCCGCGTCTTTCTCCCTCCTCTCGGCATGGCTGTCTTCGTAAAGTCAGACCTGCATAACAAGCGAAGGAGACGACAAGTACACATGGGGTAAGCAAACAGGCACAAGTGGTTAACGACCTCCTGAAATTTCAGAATGAAAGATCCTGAAGTCTGTTAGGAGAGGTATGAAATAACTGGAATGACTTGAAGACACTTCATGCCATTTCATGAGTTATAGCTGGTTTGGGGTTCATATTCTATGTTTTTTTTTTTTTTTTTTTTTTTGCCTATTTTTGTTTTGATTCAACGTTTTTGTGAGCCACGTCATGTCATTTCAGGAGTTTCGGGTGGGGAGGCCTGAAACCTCTGAAAAAAACTAAAGTGGGTGAAACTTCTGAAAGCGGTTTCAGGTCTCCCTCATCCAAATGGTTGGATTGATGCATCTCAAACCGCTTTTAGATTTTCCGCAATTTCATATTATTTCAAAAGTTTCAGATGAGGAGACCTGAAACCTTTGACATGATCTGAAGTGGCTGAAGCTTCTGAAAGTGGTTTCAAGTCCTCCCATCGAAATGGTTGGATGGGGGTATCTGAAACCGCTTTCAGATTTTCAGCCACTTCAGATTATTTCAGGACTTTCAGATGGAGAGACTTAAAACCTCTGAAATGATTTGAAGTGGCTGAAGGTTCTGAAAGAGGTTTCAGGTCCCCCCATCTAGATGGTTGGATGGGGACATATGAAATCGCTTTTAAATTTTCAACCACTTCAGATCATTTCAGGAGTTGCAGGTGTTCCCATCCAAATGTTTGGATGGGGGACCTGAAACCGCTTTCAAAAGTTGTAGCCACTTCAAGTCATTACAGAAGCTTCATGTGGAAATCTAAAACTTCTTAAATGACCTAGAGTGGCTGAAGCTTTTGAAAGCAGTTTCAAGTTTTCCCATCCAAGTACCTCACACTCGTCTGAAGCAGCTGAAAATAACCTGAAAATAGAGACATTTGTTAACCTTCTCTCTGTTCCTGATACCCAATCCTTTCATTCCATTTCATCCAACTCTTCAATCTGGTACACGCCAAAATCCCCACATCGCACAATCTGGTATGGTCCTAACCATCTCTTGTTGAGTTTCCTGGACCACTGCTTCTCCAGGGACGAGTCATATAACAATACAATGTCCCCAACTTTCAGTGGTACTTTTCGTACGCGCACCATCTCGTCTCAGCGAGCCTTATCCTCCACACGGCTCCTCTCCACCTGATTGGATGCTTCTTGAATTCTCTCCTCAATCGCTCCCACCTGTCGTGCCCGAATGTCGAGCAACTCCTCGAAGGGCGACAGAAGGTTAACCGACCCCCAAATTTTCACCCCCATTTATAAAAAAAACAAAGGGTCATTTTAACCAGATTTCACATCAATCTATAGAGTGCACTTCTTACTAACTTATTGTTAAAAAAAACCGAAAAAAATAATTAAAATCATATAAAACCGCAAGTCAAAAGTGCACTTTCATGAAATTTCACCAATATTTCAATTTGTCGATTTTCACAATTTTCACCACTCCCCAAAACAACCATCTTCAGGAACCCAATAAACACCAAACTTGACACATACAAATCTCGACCAAAAACAAAACAAGGCAAAAAAAGAAAACAAAAAAAACAAAAGAACATGATCCCCACTGCACTTTTCAGGGTGGTGAAGGTTACCCTAGGGGTGAAAAGTGAGGGTACCTGTTAATCTTTTGTGCGAAGGGCAGGTTGGTTTCTAAGTCTTGACGTCTCAAAGTCTTCAAGAAGCTCTCAATTGGGAAAGTAGCGTGCCTCCCGTACCATAACGTGGCTGACGCGTACGTAGTGGTCCTCTTCATGGATGAAAAACGCCGCCTTCAGGTATCTTGGTCACTGATTAGGCCTACCCTCAGTCCATTTGGCCAGAAGGTTTGTGATGGTGCTATATCCTCTCTCAACCGGAGCATTTGCTTGGGGATGTACGGTTGTGGTATAATTGGCTACCACGCCGTACCCTGACAACAATTTTTGTACTTCTTGACAGGTAAATTATGACCCTCTATCCATCACGAACTCTCTGACAAAATGATAACGTAGGTAGTATTCCTCTATACAACTTACCCAAACCGAACTGGTCTTTGTACGAATGACACGTCCATCTACAAAGCCAGAAAGGTTATCTTGCACATCGAAGACATAATTGTAGCCATGATCCCCAATTGGCATGAAGAACACAACACCCACTTCTCTTTCTATCCTTGGATGCAGCCTACGAATCTCCCTCGGCGGCGGCCGTCTGCGGACGAGTACGCGGACGTGAGGCGCCGTGGCGACCGAAACGGAGGTCCGTTCGGAAATCCGAAAACGGCTCCCGGCGGCGCATGACCGTCCCCAAGCCCATGCACGGAAAAAAAAAAAAAAAAAATGATTTTTTGGGGGGGTCAATTTTTGTCCCCTATGAGGGTACAAAAAAAATTACACCCCCCCCCATTTCGCAAATTTTTCGAAGCGGGGGTGTTTGACAAGTCGCAAGGCACGTGTAGGGAAAAAAAAAAAAAAATTCCGGTGGTGGTTGGGGTTTCTGGGGGGGGTTTATCGTGTGTCGGGGAGGCTGGGGAGGGCAAAAGGTGTGGGGTTCGAAATAGTGGGTTGGTGGGGCCCGGGGGGGGGGGGGGGGGGGGGGGGGGGGGGGGGGCGTACGGTGTCGTTTCCGAGTGCAGGCCCTTGGGGGTGGTGTAGGGTTTGGTTGCCGTTTGAGGTTGAAACCTATAATTATTAATACAAAGCAAAACAACACCCCGCCATGATGCGCACCATTTGTGTGCGTTTTTTTWAAGTGGGGGTGTGTGATGGGTGYTGGGCCGAGGTGGGGTGTTGCCACAAACAAACAAATATCCATCGGGGGTGGGCAGTGGGGTTGGGGGGGGGKGGGGGGGGGGTGAGTCACAGGTTTTGCCTGTCTTGGACATGAAAAATGGTGTGGGATTCGAAATTCGTGGGTTGTTGGGGCACTTGGGGGAAGTTGGGGGCCACAGGCTGTCGATTTAGTGTGCAGGCGTTTTGTGTTGTTTGGTGTGCTAGTTTTGTAGTGTCTTAGGGTCGTTGCGGTTCGAGGTGGTTGTTGTGATGACGATTTTCGTTCTTTCTGTTCCACAAAGTTAGTGCATGGTTTTTGGGATGGTTTCCAGCATCCCATATCTGTGTATTTATACATAAGTCAACAAAAGTCAGCAAAGTAAAACACATTGGGACATTTTTCATTCCGCAATTGACATGAACTGATGGTTTCAAAACATATGATATGGAGATCAGGAACGCAAGTCTTACATTTCGCACATTACGAAGCAATGCATCATGTGCAATGGAACTGTAAGATCATGCATGCACTACAACATACCGCGTTGCCAAACATACAAACAAAACTAACAATCCATAGGAAATATGAAACAATAATGTACATCTGTGATGATGTGACTCACATTGAATGTGGACTCAAAGAACATAATCATACAACGATCGGGAAAAAGTCATGCAACTGCTGCACGAGTCGTAGAACATGCGATATACCACTCAAATCCCCGCAAACACAAATGTATTGTCGAACGAGTGCTCGTCCTGTGACTCCTATCCACATACATCAGAAAACTACATACTCTCCATATGTACAGACGTCATCCTCATAAAAAACAAAAAAACAAAAAGAACAGTTGTCACTAGTATACATATGTCTCATAAAAGCGAAGAAATAACAATTGTACCACAAAAAACCTCCGCGAAACTAAAGTACATATGAGTCCGGACCCCTGAGACTACACACAAACCGTCCGACGCCTTGGACTACACAGGAGTCCTGGGAAGGCGAAAAAAAAACACATAAATAACTGTGAAACTAAAGTACATACGATAAACTACCAAAAGAGAGCGGCCAACGAACCAAACAATGGGGAACATCCACATAAACAGGAGGACATATCTACTGCCCCCCGCCCCCGCCTCCTCGTCGTCATCCCCGTGTCGATGGTGTCTTATGTGTCCTTGCCGCGGCCGATCTCTACCTCTCTCTCTCCCTGCGCCTCACAACCTCGATGGGCTCCTCCTCCGTGTCGACCTCTGAGGCACGCGCCATCGCCAACCTCGCGCGCTCCCTGTGCAATGTGTCACTCAACTCCCTCAATCGCGCCTCGTCCCTAGCAATACGAGACTGTATCTCATTAATGGTGGTGTGAGATCGCTCTCCACAAGGCGCCGGCACACCGTCCTCTCCGGAAGTATACAACGCAGGCGCGGCCATGCGTGAACCTAAAAGTAAGTCTCTGCGCGCCGTATCTAGGCATGCCGAGAATGTGATAAGCAGTCCTCAAACTCCGTGCCGGTCTCTGCTCCTTGCTCAACCGTGCCTGATGCGCTGCGAAATCAGCGCGCACACCGTCATCAACTCGTCACACTATGCTCCACGAACGGTGAAGCGACTGCTGTGTGTCTAGGCGGGGAGATGACGATGACGACATGTGGCCTCTCTCTCTCTCCCTGCCCGTGACAGTTGTCGGACTGCCGCGGACCGTGGTCGGTGGAGGAGGTGTAACTGGGGGGATGCGAGTCGTGCGTGCACCCGAAGCCGCTGCTCTAATAGACTCTGAACGTTGCTGCTCACGCTCCAAGCTCGCAGGAGAGCCGGCATACAAAGGGCTCAAAGGTGTGTACGGCGGGGGCGAGCGAACTACGACACCGACAAATCCTGCAGGTCGTGTGATAATCGGATCCTCCATCGCCGCACGGTGCAACGCGTCAGGGTCAAGTAGGCCCGGTGTAATCTCCCCTTCCTCCCTATCTGCTCTCTTTGGGTTAGTACGGTCATCTGCCGTACCGCCTTCCACCGCGTCATCAACACCAACTCCACCCTCCGCAGGATGTGACGCATCCTCGTGCGCGACTGGTGAAGGATGACGCAACACCAATGCCCACGACATATTGCCTCCAGCGTCGTCTACATGTGCATCGCCCTGTACAGGTCCACATGCGTCAACCCCAATCGACCCGTGTGTCGATCGACCTGGACCGGTGCTGTACGCAGGTGCAAGACGGTCGACATCACCCGCCCCATCGTTGCCCTCCGCATCGGGTAGGCGGCCTCCATCCAACTCGCCTGAATCGTCGTCCATGGGAACTGCCTCCTGAGAGACTGGATCGCCTTGCTGCAATGTGCCCGCCGCACACAACCCAACTATGATGTCGGACACGGTCGGATCGCCATACTCAGACGCACCTAACTCTCCTCCCACGGCAGACCCGGAGTCCACATCTCCCTGGGGCGACGTCTCGGGCACTGCGGTATCGGGTATCGCTGCGTCGGCTGGAAACCCGTGCGGGACTGTACGAATGCTATGCTCTACCCCACCCACATCACGGACTACAGTACCCGTCTCCAAGTCTCTAGCACGCTGCTGCTCCGCCATGTACTTATCTCTGCCCACCCACTCTCTCTGCAACTGCTGCAGCCGCTGCTCCTCCTCTCGATCCATCCGAGCATGGAGCTCCTCCACGGACTCTGGACCACCACCTTGCACAGGATGGTACTCGGCCTCATCCCCCACTCTCTCTCGCCCATCAGCCCGCCCTCGAACACCACTGCCCGCAAATCCTGGTCCAAGGCCCTGAAAGTCACTCGTGCGCAGCTCCCTCTGCTGACTGTCGCCTCGAAGTGCCGAGGCGGGCTTATGCTGGCTCGGCAAATGCTCCTCATCTCTGATGTCGTGAAGGTGGTCCGACGCCTCGCGTCTACCACCTGAAGTCGATCCCGCTTGGGTCTGCTACAGCCTCGCCGATCTCCTGAGACCCTCGGTGGCAGGCGCGGGTCGCGCGGCTCCCTGCTGCACCAACCGTGCTCTGCGAAGCAGTAAGGACTCGTCGTCGTCGTCGTCGTCGTCCGCGTCGTCCTCGTCTCGCTGTCCACCATCCAACCCTATATCGGTGGCGGGGATGGGATCGTCGTCGCTCTCCCGAATGAATGTGCAGCGTGGCTGGAATCCATCGGCTCCTCCTCCGTATGTGTAGTAGAGTCTCTCCGCACTCTTATCTACACCAGGTGGCAAATCCTCTCCGACCTCCGTGTCCGTCTGCTCCTCCGACGCCTGCACTAGCTCTGCTGGCGGTGGAGGCACGTAGTCGTAAGGATGGAGTATCTCAGCTTGGCACCGAAAACCTCGGCAAGCCCCGCTGGCCGACGAGCACCCTTCTGCTGGAAGCGACAAACCTGTGCAGCGATCTCGTGTGCCGGCACTGCTGTCTGAGGTCTAGCTCTCCACTCCTCTGGCTCAGGCTCCTCCTCCTCGTCCTCATCTGCGACTACCGGGTGTGTATACTCCTCTCGCTGCGCCTCAGCCAGGGTCGCCATGTGACCCCACGAAAGAACGTACCCCCCACTCCGCTCGCTGCATCCAAGTAGTTTGAGATTTGTAGCAATCTCAACTAACTGCACGACCTTCCTGAACTCGAGCTTGTTGCGCTTGGCCGTGTGGATGCGCTCATGCTCTGCCCAATTCCTCTCAGCAGGAGAGGCGGACGTCCACATGTGCATCACACGGCCAGCGATCTCCTGCAAGTCCGGGAAGCATGCGCCGTGCTCCACCCACCACGACGCGCACCTGCTCGTCTCCTCGTCCCCTACACAGGCCTCCGCCTCGGCGTCCCTCATCACCCTCTCTGTGTGGTGGCCGACCCTGGAGTGGAAGGATCGCATCTGCTCACGCACACGCAAGTATGCATCCCCCGCACGATCACCACCTGTCTGCGCCAACAAAAACGAGTCGCACTCGGTGACGACCTCGAGGTCCGCAGCTGTCCTGCAGGCGGACTCGTAGTAACGGATAGAGCGTCTGCGGGGGTTGAGCAGGTGCGCCGCAGCGTGTGCAAGCTCAAGCATATGCATAGTGCGGATCTGCACCGCCTCCACGCAAGGCCCCCGCATGTCATCAGGGACGTCAGCAGCAGCCACCTGCCGTACCAACTCCTGTGACCATGAGTACATCGTGGACATGATCATGCCGCCCCAGTCCAATCTCCTCAACAGCTGGTGGACAGGGGTCATGACTGCGACAGCGTGCTGAACGTTGCGCCAGAAATCGGCGCAGCGGATGAGGTGTCGAACCCACAGAGCCTGTCTACGCTTCGACGACTCCCATGGGATCTTGTCCCATGCATCGTCATGAAGCATGCTCTCCAAGGCATTACGCCTCGCCAGCAAACACACAAACATAAAAAAGACAGACGCGAATCGCGTCTCCACTGGGTGCACAAGTGTGCGGCGACGGCTTTTC